CTTCCTCATCTACACCTGCCACAGGCGGCACACACTCGGGCTCTCTGGGTCTGCCCGGGCCTCCGAGCAGGACTGGAGCGACCGTGGGTGGGTTCACCGGGAAGGGGGCGGCTAGAGGGGGCTGGGAGGCCTGGGGACAGTTCTGCTCACTCTTTAGTAGCCTCCACTTCTTTCTGCGAAGCTGGGCCCTTTAACCCAGCAGTTCTCAGCTCAGTCAGCTGGGGAAACGTCTGCCCTCCCCCAGCCCTAGGGGACATTCAACGATGTTGGGAGACATTTTTGGCCATCACACCCGGGGTGTGTGTTGGGGTGGGAGTGGGGGCGTGCTACTGGCATCTAGTGGGGGGAGGCAGGGCTGCTGTTCAACACCCCTCAGTGCACAGGATGCGGCAGCTCAGAGCAGGACCCAGCCCCGGTGTCAGCAGTGCCCAGTTTGAGAAGCCGCTTTAACCCTTTGCACGCCACAGGCGTCTAGAGACACAGGGATGGTTTCTGTTTTGGACGCGTGGCAGTTAACTGGTTATACCACCAAGACTCTAGAGCCGGGGCAACCTTTCTCCAGAAATGCCAGGAGAAGGACCCCGAGAAGGCTTTGAAGGGGAAGCCCCAGCCCCACTGCAGGGCACTGGAGGCCTCCGCCGCCCTCCTGCCACGCCCGTGGCTCTGCTGCCCACCGCGGCAGCCACGCTCCTCGCCTCGGCTTCGGCCGGCACTGCCTTCCTCCGGAAGACGGGGAGGCGAGAAGCCAGGCAGTGCACTGACAGTGGGGGAACCGGTGGGAGAGTCGCCAGGTAAACGGAGGGAGGAGGCGAGGTTCAGGGCTGCCCTGGCTCGGGGCCAGGCCTCGCGGCGCCCATACCTGCATCCACATCGTTGGGCCACCCGCTGGACTGGCTGCTGCCAGCCGCTGGGGAGCGGCCTGTCCCAGGATAGAAGACATCGTCGACAGGGCTCTCCATCTCGCTGTCATCAATGGACTTGGGGCGCTTGGTGGTGCTGGGGAAGGAGGAGCGGGATCAGGCGGGCCCGGGGTGGCCCAGGTACTGGTACTTGGGCCGAGGAAGCCTGCCCTGACAGCCCCCTGAGCTGGGAGCAGGTGCCCACTGACAGCAGCACTGCTGGGCACTCATTCGTGTCCACCCCCAGGACAGCCCTAGAGCCCCTTGGCCCCGCCTGCCTGCTCCTCCTCCTTGATCGCCTCCTCCGTTCGTCCTTGATACCATCATCCATCGAGTTGCTTAAGTCAAAGGGGTGGGCAACACCCTCAAATGCTTCCTTGGCCCCACAGCCCCCAGGATCAAGGTGAGAAAACTGAGGCACTCACCAGGGGGTGCCACAACCCCCACCATCAGGATAGAAACACAAAGATATTATAATGTTTCGATGCAATATTTAAACAGATTAAAATGAACACCCCAAACCTCACATGAACTAAAACGTCCAGTTTGTTTTTAAAAGGGACAGGATCCCACCCTGCCCTGCACGACTGGCCCTGACCAGGGCCTACTGTGTCCACCCCCAAACACCTCTCAGCTACACCCGGCCCTCTCATGCCACTGCCCCACCTCCAGGACTCGGGCCCTCCTCCAGCCTGGCTGCAGGTCCTGCCTGGCTGCTGGAGGTGCTTTCTTGAGCACACAGCCCCAGCGTCTTCTGCTGAAAACGCGTCAGTGCGTTTTTAGTCTAAACACCTTCCTCTGGCCTCGAAGCCCTCCAGGGAGTGGTTTCACCAGCCTGTCCCACTCAGCTGGGACGGAAGCTGCTCTCTCTAGCTGGAGCGTCCGCCCCATGCCCTCACTAGCCCCCTGTAGGTCCATCCCCGAGAGAGACCTTCTCGGACCCGCACTGGGAGCGCCTTCCAGGCAGAGCCAGGCCTTGTGTAGGTCTGTGTTCCCAGGGCCGAGCGCCCACAACAGTACAAAGCAGGACGTTCAGGGGAGAGGGCCAGTGCCCTCCACAAGGGGTGACGTTCTGAAGCACCCAGGGCACTGTGGCACAGCTAGCTGCCCACCACATCCGAGATGGCCCGGTCAGGGTGGGGGGAAGGGAGGGGGGAGGCCAGGGGTGCGGGGCTTACCTGGTGGAAGGAGGGGAGGTGATGGACCTCCGCCCCAGCGTCACCTGGTTTATGTTGTAGTAATTGGGACTCTCCAGGTCCGCCAGCGAGAAGTTGGGGCCTGATGCTGTGGCGACAGGAGCTGGGAAGAAGGGAGAGATGACGGATGAGCCTGCAGGTGCAGGAGGCCCGAGGCTGGGCTCGCTGGAGAAGAGCCCTTCGCTGTTGTTTTTTTCCTCCAACGTGGAGATTAGACATGGCCTCTCTGGACACCTCTGCTCCCCTCAGCCTGGTGCCCAGGAGGCAGGCAATGTCCCAGGAAACCCTGTTGGCCCCTGGGCCCAGCAAGACCCCATCCATCCGCAGGGGGCCATCTCCTCACCCCCATGCCTGCTGACTGGGCCCTGGCCAGGAAGGAAGGACTCACTTACTCTGTGAAACTCTGACCAGCTCTGTTACGTTCCAGACCCCGGAAGTCACAAAGCAGTCCTGGAAGCTTAAGTGCCCTGAGGAGGGAAAAGAGCCGTGAGTGAGTGGAGGCCAGGCCAGGAGGGGCTGCCTGTGTTTCCTCACAGTTCTCCCACCTCCCATTGCTCCCTCCCAAGCCCCAGGATGGCCCTCAGGGGCCCTTGGGTCTCCAGGGAAGAGGGGGTGCACTCTAGGTGAGTCCCCTTTCCTCCCCGCCAGCTGGCAGCCAAAATTCAGCTGAGGGACAGCTGAGTAAAGGGGAGGAACTGGTGGAAGGCACAGGAGGGCCTGGGGGCAGGGCAGTCAGGGAGGTGAGGGCAGCAGGGCAGGTGGGCAGGGCACTGACCGTTGGGCAGTGGTTTGATGTCCGCATCTCCTTGCTGGTTTGAACTATCTGATTGTCCGGATTCTGCAGGAGACACAAAGGGGAAGATGGGTCAAGACCAAACTGCCCCACACACGGCTCCCTCGCCAGCCCCGTTTCCAGGGACACCCTCCTGCCGTGGGGATGCCTGGGCACTGCAAGGGGTTTGGCAGCACCCCCGGCCTCCACCCACTAGATGCCAGTAGCACCCCAGTTGTGACAACCAAAAGTGTCCCCAGACACTGCCCATGTGCCCTGGGGACAAAGTCGCCAGTGGGTGAGCAGCATCGGCCGATGGTCAGGGCCAGGAGGGCTCCTCGGAGGGAAGCCAGCGACCATTCTGCACAGCTGGAATGGACCCAAGGGCTCCCTGTCCTCCGCCCGCCTCCAGTGCCCAGAGAAGCGGCCCCCGGCTTCCCGCACTTCATTAATTAGAGCCAGTCCTGTCTGCCTGAGCCACCCCCACCTCACCTTTCTGCTTACAGGCAGTGCCTGGCAACACGGAGGGGGGAGGTCCGCCCTGACGCTGTCGCCCACTCTGTGCCAGCCTGTCTGGGCTGTCTCATGCCCCAGTGCCACAGCTGCTCAGAGGGAGCCCCGAAACAAGGGCCCATTGTGCAGCGGGAGCTCACAGAGGGCTGGGGGCAGGGTGGAGTGTGTGTGTGAATATTTTGCTGAGCTTGGGAAAGCCCCCCGCCCCGCCCTCCAGGTCCTCAAAGCTTTGTGTGCCAGGGGCACAACAGGGACCTCCAGAATGCCTGCCTGGGCACGACAGCTGGTGAGAGGGTGGCGGAGGGGGGCCAGGGCAGGTTGCGGGGCAGGAGGAAGGCAGGCGCTGGGTAAAGAATCAGCTGCTTGCTGGGGGACAACATGGGGGTGGCACTGGGAAAACCGGGGACAGGTGTTGGCCAGGGCTTTGCCCCACTCTTTGGAGCAATCCTGCCTCTGGGTCTCACCCATCACCCCACGGTCGGTCCACTGGCCGGGAATCTGGCCCCCACCAGCCTCACTGCTGAGCTGCTCACACTGGGGAGTGACCAGCGAGGAGATTCCTGAGGGGCAGCGTGGGCCCCCACCGGGGCTGGCGGCAGTGCAGCAGCTTCTCAGAGCGAAGGCCCGTCCGCGGCTCCGCTCCTGGCCACCTGCCTCAGTGTGGCCAGCGGGAGAGGGCAGCTGCCTCAGGACGGCCTCAGGCCCCCTCCCCCCATCCTCTACCTTATTAGATTAAGAACGTTTTTTGATTGATTGATTTGAGAGAGAGAGAGAGAGAGAGATAGGAAGGGAGAGGGAGAGGGAGAAACATCCATTTGTGCCACTATGTATGCACTCATCGGTTGACTTTTGTGTGTGCCCTGACCAGGGATGGAACCCGCAACCTGCGCATAGCGGGGCGCCGCTCTAACCACTGAGAAACCTGGCCAGGGCACCTTGTTAGATTTTTTTTAAGCCCCCAGAATAATCCTAGCCCTAGCCAGCAGCTGCCTCTCAGGGCCGCCCTTTCCCCAGTTCCTTACACGGGAGGGGCAGAGCCTCAGGCCAGCTTGTGGAGCCCAGCGAGGGCACAGGTTCCAGCCCCCGCTGCCCGGGGGTCCCTGCCACCCACCCCTCCAGACCTGGGTCAGTGGAGGAGACCCTGATGTCCGCCCCACGGAGTGGCCTGGTCCCCCCACAGCGGCGGCGCTGGCCTGCCTCCCACACGCGCACACCCAGCCCAGCGACGGGACCAGAGAGAGCCGGACAAAGAGATGGCGGCAGAGCAGGACGGAGGCAGACACACGGGCTGCAGGCAGGGAGACAGGCAGGAAATCCTTCTACACCGGGACACGGCCCCAAACGCTGCTGCTGTTCTTCCTACTCGCTCCTTGTGGAGAGGCAGGCAGGCGGGGAGAGAGGGGCGAGGTGCTGCCACGCGCCTCGGGCGGCGCTGCCCGCTGCTGGCAGCCATGTTCG